GGCTTCTTCACCGTCTTCGCCAGCGAGCTCTCCATCTACACGCTGACGGCCATCACCCTGGAGCGCTGGCACGCCATCACCTTCGCCATGCGCCCCGACCGCAAGATCCGCCTCCGGCACGCCGCGGCGGTCATGCTGGGGGGGTGGCTCTCCTGCTTTCTCCTCGCCCTTCTGCCGCTGCTCGGAGTCAGCAGCTACAGCAAGGTCAGCATCTGCTTGCCTATGGACACGGAAACACCGGTGGCCGAAGCCTACGTCGTCTTCATTTTGATATGCAACATCATTGCTTTTGTCATCATCTGCGCCTGCTACGTAAAAATCTACCTAACTGTGCGAAACCCGCAGTACAAGTCAGGGGACAAGGACACCAAAACTGCCAAGCGGATGGCTGTGCTGATTTTCACGGACTTTCTGTGCATGGCTCCCATCTCTTTCCATGCTTTGTCCGCCATTATGAACAAACCACTGATAACTGTCACCAATTCCAAGATCTTGCTGGTACTCTTCTACCCGCTCAATTCTTGCGCCAACCCCTTTCTTTATGCCATTTTCACCAAAGCTTTCCGAAGAGATGTGTTTATCCTGCTTAGCAAGTTCGGTATATGTGAGCATCAGGCTCAAGTCTACAGAGGTCAGACGATCTCAGCCAAAAACAGCAGCAGCTCCTCTGGGCAGAGAATTGGCCGAGGAGTAGGTCAGATTCTTACCGGCATTCAAGAGCCAGTCAGCAATTACCTTCCTGCCATGACAATGCAGAACCAAATTCTCGTGGAAGAATGCAAGCAAACGGAGCTATAACACCTCAAGAGTATCACAGCCACAATCTGGTCAAGAGGTGGTTGTAAATCTAGTGAAGCAAGTGAGAAGATCACATTCTCAATATCCTCTTTGTGATGTCTGAAAATACCTTCAGAGTGGTCTTCTTTTAGACACGTCACTCATTTGAACCTCTTGTCTCACACTCTTATCAGTGCAGGTCAAAAGATACTGCTCTGATGACAATGCTGGAAGCAGATGTGAACACAACTCATAAAATATGAAATATACACTCATCTAAAAAATTTAAGGAAGCAGGAGATCAAGCATAGAACTTGGGGGTACTTGTATGACTTAAAAAAAAAAACAACAAAGATTTATAATTAAAACAAGATGAAAAACAAACAAAGAAACAAACAACCAAACAAAAAGTTGAGGTTCTCAAATGCCAACTGCCTACATGTCAAAAGTTTCAAGTGGTTTTCTAATAGCCTGAAATGAAATCGATTCCTTCTGCTTCTGCCATTCTGACCTAAAACGAAGTTAGCCTTTTGTTTGCAGCTCTTGGTTAAGTTGGCTGAGGTGGGGAGAGAAGCCTCTTTGTATTGCCTTTGTAGCAGGAAAAGGCAAATCTCATTGATTTTGCAGCTGTTCCTAACTGGTAAGAAACTTTAGGGCACTCGTCTTTGTGTGCTGCAAGAATTCCCTTAGGATCACTCTCTCAGCTTTTGATAAATTTACTTAGGGGATGGTTTAGTTTGAATTTGTTTTGAAGACTACTCTGGCAAGTCAAGGATGATTTTTTTGACAGCTGAAACTTAAGCCTGTACTACATTTTCTCCTTATTACCCATTCTTTACCTGACTCCAACACTGTTAAATCTGAGCATGACTTTGAGCACCCTGTGAGTACTGCTTTCTCACCACTACTGCTGTCCCTTACTTACCCATCTCTGACAGACACAGAAAGACTTTTCGTTTAGCAGTGGCTGTATTGAGCTGCCTCAGATCTACACTTGGACAAAGGGAGTGCCTTCAGGTTACTTCTTGCCCTTCAGCTGCTGAAGGCTGACCGCTAGCTCCTCCAACATGGTTTAAGAAATCTCTCCATCTTGTAGTGAGATCTGCTACCTGACCTATGTAATGCCTGCAGGACAACTACATAAGCTACAGCTAGCTTCTGGTTGGCCACAGCTTGTCTGTAGCTTAGACACACACTCTCCACACTGTGCTTAAGGAAATCCAAGCTCAGACACAAGGAACAAACCACAGTTTTTTGCTCCAGAGAAGGACTAAAGCATCTTCTGCCATAGTTGCTGCTAGGTGGGGCCAGACAAAGATCAAGCTTGGCTGTGCTCGGTTCATCCATAACACCACAAACAAATGAGCTGGAGCCTGGCTCTATACACCTCTTGCCGACATCGGGACTTGAGGTGAGAGCTGCTCTGCACCAGCTTGCTTGTTAACACTTGAGTGACCTGAGTGCCTGGTTTTGACAGCCAGATCAGACCTGGTCTCAGCCAACTGTAGAGACTAGCTCTGTAGGACTGCTACCAAGATTGCCATTTATCATTTCACTCATCTGTTTGGAAGGTTTACCATGAAAATGGAGAATATTAGGTGAATCTTTGCCTTCAGGTACATATTTTCCAATTCATTTTGCAATACCTATATGGTTTTTAATCAAATTTTAGTCTTTGAGGAACTATAATTAAATTGGACAATAGTCAGATCTTTTATAATGTGGGTTAGTAGTATCCAGAAAAATGTAATGATAGAACTCTTTAAACTGGTAGCTCCTACAGCTAGAAGCTGCATGATTGCAAATGTACGTACCCCAATTCAAACTCAATTTGATTCCATATTCCTGATTATAAACAAAGGCTGCATCAATGAGCAGAAACAAGGGCCTAGATTCACCCGCTCTGCAAGATGGTCTCATAAAGAAAAAAGAGAAGATTCTGTCATTGTTAATGCCATTTAAAAACCACAATATTGCACTATAGATTGATTTAGCTGCATATTTTAGGGAGGGGCACGCTTCCATTTTTGGTTGATTCTCTGCACTTTGAAACCAAAACTGCTGAAAAGCATGCAAGTAATAATTCATGACCTCCTCTTCTGTGATCTGGACTCACCCAGTGTTAATCAGAAACAAGAAGCTACCTTGAAGTGTGCAGATCAGCAAAATGCAGCAGCTGCCTTTAGCATGATCTGGCCATGTCTGAGAGTCCCATACAAAAAGTGTTATGCTGAGATGCAACCTGCACCCCTGGGTTCTGTGGTCCTTCTAATACTGGAATAACAATAAAGGGAGATAAAGTTTCCTGAGTGCCTTTATTAAGCATCTCATCAGCAGCTAAGACAATCAAGTTCTAATGGACAAACTATACATTTCTGCTACAGACTTCACAGATCCTAGCGTACCAGTGAAAAAGAAAACCCAAGCTTGAGTCGTATTCTTTTTCAGAAAAAGAGGAAAGACTAAACCAACATGTATTTTAAAACTGCTTTAAAAGTAACATGGATCACTTGGTTCAAACCTCTTTTTTTAACCAGAATGTTTGTTCCATGGAAATGAGTAGCTCACTGGAAAGATATGCTAGATTGGACTGACTGAAGTGTGCTTTTCAATTAATACGGCTGTTTGCTGCTATGAATCAATGACAGATATATTTACATATGATTGAATTTTATCTCCCATCACTGCATGTATTTTTTGTCTATTATAAGAACTGTGTGATATCCTCTTTATGAATAAAGTTTGTTATTTCTGGTTTGTCTTGCATATACCTTCTTGTGTTTAACTTGGTACAAAATACCTGAAAAGCTATTGGAAGGATCCAGGCAATAGACTTTAAATAATTTATTTGCCAGACTTTTTCTTGTAAATGTTTGTATCATACAGATACCCTCTTCCACTTCTGCCATTTCTGGGTTTGCACATACCCTTACATAATACTTGCTATTTTAAACCTGTCTCAGCAAGATGTATTATTTCTGGCATTCAGTACGTACTTTCTCTAGAATACTTTAGAAATAATGCAGAGTACTGGAATAAAATGTTTTATTTCAAACTATAAAAGGCTCAACAAGTTCTTTCTGAGATTTTTAAAATATCTTTCCTAGACTATTTCTCATGCACTCAATTTCATTGTTCTCCTTGGCTGGCCTGACCACATGACACACTGTTTGACAGAGGTTTTAGGTTTTAGCCCATGTCTAGCAGGGAAAGGGAAGTCCTAAGTGGTCATCTCAGATTGCAGCAGGGATAGAAAGGAACCACAGTCATACTGCTAAGCTCTCAGCTTCCAAAACCATAATTAACTACATCCAAGATAATCAGAAAATCACCTAGCAGCCATGAAGTCCCCTTCAAAAGACTGAATCTGGAATCTGATCTTTTCCATTCTCCTTCCTAAACCTGATGTGCATGCAACAGCCACAGTGACCGAGGACTGGGTACTTCACGAGAAAACACCTGCATAGTAAGAAGTTTGTGTGGTGGAGACTCTGCTGCAGGAACTCTCGGAATAACTAAAGGGATCTGCCCATATGCAACATTACAGAAGATCCCTCCCTCCCACTAGATCTCCCTTCAGACAAAATGTCCCTTATCCCATATTGCCAAAATTTATGCTGCCAAATTTTATGTTCGGTAATTCTCATCAGTGCAGGAGAACAGGTGATTATCTTTTTATACAAATCCTTCCGTTGCCTTGGGGAAAAAAAAAAAAAAAAGAAAAAGAAAAAAAAAACCAAAACACACAAACAGCTGAGGGATAATTCCCACTGCTGAAAACTGTCAAAGTGATCAAATATCCGCTCACTCTTCACACAGCCTCCCTGTCCCCAAAAAGCAGACTTCAGTATCTGTGCACCTTGCCACCACCTGTAATTGTGCTCCCCTCCTACATGAAGCTTTAGGGTGCAAGGAAAGCTTTTTCTCACTTACAGATGCCAGCTGGCATCAGCTAAGAGCGTTAAGCTTGTAGGCAAGAAGAAAATGCAACAGGCCAAGAGGCGACAAGGTATAACTAGTTCTTTCTACGAGGCCGATGTTGTTCAGCATGCATGTAAGTAGCCTGGAAGAAGGACATGACAGAGTCTGCCATCATATTAAGTTGTTTAGAGAAATTCAGTGCAACTGAAGTGATATGCGTGGTGAAAAAAGAAAATTATGTGCTCTGAGCTGACAGCCCCAATTAGGCAATAAGACAAACAGTAAGTTAAGTCTGTGAAAATACCAGCTTATGATTCCTGAAGATCTATAAAGCAAATTAAATTATATTCTTGGGAAATGAGCAGAACATAAACGCAGTAATTATGACATCACCGTATAAATCTACACCTCATATAGCATAGCTCTTAACTCTGCAACAGAAGAACAATACAACAGAACTAGAAAAGTTTCAGAGTAGGGTAGCACGGAGAATGAAAGGCTTGGTGTTACAGCTAAGAAATCACTAAGTGAAGCAGGAGCCCTTGCACGAGAAGGGAGATGGCAAAGCTCAGTGAATTCATGAGCAAACAGGAGCATCTGAATTATCAACTTCAGCTACCCAAATCCACTCTGGGTAATAAAGTTTCCACGGGTTTACAGAGAGACTGAGAACTCATGGAAGAGACATCTGTGAAAAGAAACTAGAACAACAAAGTATGTCTCGGGCTGCTTCTGAACTGCGAATACACAACAAATGGGAGGGAGTACCTGGGGAGCATCTCCTATGTGCTCGCCTACTTTTTCATGCTTAGCTCGCCACACACCGCTAGCTGCTGCCACAGGACTCTGGCACAGGGGAGACTTTTGGTCTGTTCCACAGCAGCCACTTTTCTCTTTTCTTCTGTCCAAGCAGTTCACCTATTCAAACTACATTGACAGCTTCAGCTGCACCTTCCCTTCCTTCCATAGGCCTGACCACAGAGCCCAAGTAGATAAAAAAAGCCAGCTGAGTGAAGCGCATATCCCCTATTCAAAACACTACCTCAATGGATCTGACCTCATGGTTCAAATGAAAGGGCAGAGGCCAGCTGCTTTCTCCC